TGCCACTCTGTCTCTCTCTGTGTCTGGCGAGCACACGCGCCCTATAGTGAAAAACCGCTCAAAATAAATAAATAAATAAATAAATAAATAAAATTTTAAAAAGGGAAAGAAAAAAATAGTCAAGTAATGTGAAGAGGGGATGACTCGCGCCCGGCGTGAGTTTTAACCCCCTGGTCCAGGATTTGGACTGCAGTCAACTGTGTGGGAGTCCAGCAGCATAACTACTAATGCTATCTACTGGTCCCATTCAGCATGCTTTTAAGAGGAGGTTAAAACTTAGCCTAAATCCCATGCAGAGATGAGAATTGGCTATTTCTATCTCTCCTAGTTACGAAGCAACATCCCCTGTCACCTGGTTGATATCTCTTGCGGATTACCCTGCAGTGCCATGCTACCATGTGGAATACACAAGTGCCAAAGACTCTGTCACAAAGGAGATTGTTTTGTGGATGAGGCCTGCAAGCAGCCCTGCACCACCCCCAGAGCTGACTGTGGCCACCCCTGTATGGCGCCCTGCCACCCTACCTTGCCCTGCCCTTTGACTGCTTGTAAAGCCAAGGTGGGTATTCCTGTCTCCAGGTAGTGTATTGACCATGGATCTGGGACTGCTAGTGGGTCCAAAACTGTCTGCAGTGGCTTCTGGTCATTCATCTTATCAGGGGATCATTGGTTGCAAGGAACTTCCATTTAAGTTAGCAAGAGAAATGTGGCACAAATTGTATAAATTTCTGTCTGCCTAGCCTTTTCTAATCATTTAGCAGGTACCTATTGCCACCTGACCATCTCTCTCATCTCTCTTATATCAAATTCTGAGTATCTACTTTGTTTATTCAACAGATATATAATGTCTATTTATATAAGACATTCTGAAAGTTCTGGGGTTAAATTAGTGAACAAGAGACACATGGTCCCTTAAAATTAGATGGGACAGATACTCACTCAATGATTATTCAGATAATTATGATTACGGTGTTGTGGAGGAGTACTTACACCTGCAGAGGGTGCTGTGAGAGCATGTAAATGGGAATCTTAGCCGGAAGTAAGGGATATAGCAAGGCCCCCTGGGGGGAGTGAAAGGAAAGGGGTGAGGCAGAGTTGACTAGGCCACAGTTGGGCCTGAGTCAAATGTCCACGTCTGGTTTAGTAGTAGAAAGGAATACTATTGACAGGGCACTTCCTCCCTGGCATGTCAACTACCATGTTGTCAATTTGCCCATGTGGTTAGTTTCTTCCCTCCTGGAGGGTGGTTGGTCACTGACTACTCTGCCACTGTTTGATTTGAAAGAGACTTTAAATGTGACGCTTCTTTATTCACATGGCTCTTAGATGCTGAAGTTGCCTCATGGTAATCTTATTTTAGGTAGAGCTACAGTGTGAATGTGGACGGAGAAAAGAGATGGTGATTTGCTCTGAAGCATCCAGTACTTATCAAAGGTTAGTGCTGTTAACTGTTAATAATTGGTAGAAACAATTGAACAATTGGTTCCAGTGATCCAGTTCAAGTGATGGCTCTTTGTGCCTTTTCTAAAGGTTGGAAAATTTGGGATGTTTTGTTTTTTTATGAGAGAGAGAAAGAGAATGTGTGTGTGCATTGGGGGGAGGGAAAAAGGAGATACTTTTCACAGGATCTCACCGTGTTTAGTGATCCTTCCTGCCCCAGCCTCCCAGTTAGCTAGGACCACAGACATGCTGCTATGCCTCGCCTGTTTTAGGCTGGACCAGTAACTGAACCTGGGCCTTCTGTGGCTAGGGCTGAAAAATTTGTTAAATAAATTTTTTAAAATCTGGTTTCCTGGGCCAACCTGTGGCCTGGTGGTCATGAAGCTGGATTGCATGCATGGCAGACAGTACAGCTCAAGTCCTGAACCCAGTGGCTCGAAGAAGAAACCAGGCACATGAGCGCATGCATACTCAAAATCCCAAAAGGAAGGAGAGATCTCAGAGAAGGGATTGCACCATGACAATTCCCTATAGAAAGGGGGTGCTTTCTCACTTTTTTTTTTTTTTTGAGAGGTTTTTGCTATAGGACGTGTGCGCTCGCCAGACAGAGAGAGACAGAGAGACAGAAAGCGAGAAATCACCCCTCAGGGGGGATGGGACGTATGCACGCGTGCCCAGTGTGAGTTTAAGCCACCGGGTCCACGACTTGAACTGCGGTTGACTACGTGGGAGTCCAGCGACATAGCCATTACTCTAACTGCTGATCCCTCACTTTTTCTATCTCTATCTTTGTCTCTGTCTCTCCAGCAAGCACTAGCACCCTCTGGCAAATTAAAAAGGAAAAAAATAATCTGGTTTCTCTGGTTCAAAGAAAAAGTGCTGGTTTATAGTACCATTTTCTTTCTAACCTTTTTGTTTCTCCTCATTCTTCCTCTCTCTTTTCCCCTTTTGGTCTCATTATACCATTAAATAAGAAAGGAAGATATCCTGAAGAGAGGATCATACCATTTGTCAGTAGCACAGGCAGAGCTGTGTCCTATTGCCCTCTCTAGGTATGGAGGTTTCTAGTTGTTCTATGAGGTATCTTTGTAGACTCCTGAAGTCTTGGGACCTGTGTGGTCATACAGGGTTCTGAATGCATAAGAGATGCTAGGGTATGAGTGATTGTATGCATTTCTGATTAGAGATGGAGGTGTGCCTTAGATGTAGGACATTAAGGGTATGTAGACATCAGGACCATTCAGTAGCATAGTGGTTAAGGCAGCTGGATCCCACACAGCCAACTGTGCGGTTCAAATCCCCAGTCCTGTGGCTTGGAAAACACACTGGGCACATGTGTATACATGCCCAAAATCTTGAGAGGAGTGTGGAGGAGAAGGGATTGCAGCATGGCCTTCCTCATGGCAAGGAGGGGTGCTTTTTTTTTTTCTCTCTCTAGTGAGCAAATGTGCCCTATAGCAAATGTTTTAAAAGTATGTGGACATCAGAGCATCTGTATTTGAAAACGTACTGAGTGCCAGGCATTGTTCTGAGTGCTCAAGGGGTACTTAGGAATTGAATTACCTTACCATGTCCCATATAGTGTTTAGAATTTAACTGAGAAAAGACAGAAACATGTAAGGCTTCATAATGGATGGTCTTCTGGGGCCTTAAAAACTGTCGTATATGGGACCAATAGATGGCATAATGGCTACGTTGCCAGACTCCTACAGATTCGACCACAGTTTGAGTCCCTGACCCGGTAGCTTAAAACCTCATGCAGGGATATATTGAACTCGTGTTGGAAGAGGCAAGTCGAGTCTCAAAATAGAGGAAAAACCACTGCCTGGTCACCCCCAGCCCAACTCCAGCTGTCGCTGACACCACCAGGGGGAGGAAAGTCATGATCCAAAGGAACCAGAGAAGTTGAGAAAACTGTTTATTGGTGGTCTGAGCTTTGAAACTACAGGTGAGAATATTTTGAGAAATGGAGCATGCTCACAGATTGTGTAGTACAAGAGACCCACGAACAAAATGTTCCAGGGACTTTGGTTTATGACTTTTGTGTGGAAAAGGTAGATGCAGCAATGTGTGCTCAGCCACACAAAGTTGATGGGCAGCCTCTAGTGGAACCAAAGAGATGTTTCTAGAGAGGATTCTCCAAAGCCTAGAGCCCATCTAACAGTGAAGAAAATTTTTGTTGGTGGTATTAAAGAAGATACAGAAAAGTATAGTTTGAGAGACCACTTGAAAAAGTTTGGCAAGTTTGAAATCATGGAAGTTATGGAAGGTTGACAGAGTGAAAAAACAAGAGGATTTGCTTTTGTAACTTTTTTTTTTTGAGATGTTTTCGCTATAGGGCGCGTGCACTCGCCAGACAGATAGAGACATAGAGACAGAAAGCGAGAAATCACCCCCCAGGGGGGATGGTCACGCCGCAATCCCCTCTCCATTCTCCTCTCAGGATCTTGGGCACGCATGCACACGCGCCTGGTGTGAGTTCTAAGCCACCGGGTCTGGGACGCGAACCGCGGTCGACTACGTGGGAGTCCAGTGACATAGCCATTACGCTAACTGCTGGTTCCCTGTAACTTTTGATGATCATGATGTAATTGATAAAATAGCTGTTCAGAAATACTACACTATTGGGGCTGGCAAAAATACCACAGTATTACAGCCAGCAGGTGGCGTGGTGGTTAAAGGCACTGGATTCCCACATGGCCAACTGTGGTTCAAGTCTTGGACCTGATGACTTGCTTTCTAACTTTCCCTGTCTCTCTCTGGTCAAATTAAAAATTAATAATAACAAATGGAATCAAATAAATAAATAAATGTTTTTTAAAAATAAGGAAATACCTCACTATTAATGGGCATAATTGTGAAAAAGGCCCTTTCTCTTTTTTTTTTTTTTTTTTTGAGAGAGAGAGTTTTGCTATAGGGCGCATGCACTCACCAGAAAGAGAGAGACAGAGAGACAGAAAGCAAGAAATCACCCCTCAAGGGGAATGGCCATGCTATAATTCCTTCTCCTCCACTCTCCTCTTGGGATCTTGGGCATGCACGCACATGCACCCAGCGAGAGATTGAGCCACCGGTTCTGGAACTTGAACCGCCATCAACCATGTGGAAATGCAGTGACATAACCATTATGCCAACTGCTGGTCCTGAAAAAGGCTCTTTCTAAACAAGAGATGCAGTCCACTGGATCACAAAGGGTCATAGAGGTTATGTATTGTGGAGGAAACTTTGGAAGTGGTGGAGATAATTTTGGTCGTGGAAACTTTAGTGGAAGAGGAGGCTATGGTGATAGAGGTGGTGGCAGCAGAGGTTGTTATGGAGGAGGAGATGATAGTGGGTGTAATGAATTTGGAGATGATGGTGACAACTATGGTGGTGTTCCTGGTTATAGTAGTAGAGGTGGCTGTGGTGGGTGGTGGACCAGGATATGGAAACCAAGGTGGTGGCTATGGTGGCAGTGGTGGAGAATATGATAGTTATAATGAAGGGGTAAATTTTGGCTATGATGGCTACAGTGGTGGTGGACGCTATAATGATTTTAGAAGTTAGAGTGGACAACAACAATCAAATTATGGGCCCATAAAAAGGGCAATTTTGGTAGAAGAAGCTCAGGCCGTCCTTATGGTGATGGTTAAGGATAGAAGTGGTGGATATAGTAGCAGGAAGTTCTAAAAACAGCAGAAAAGGGCTACAGTTCTTTGCAGTAGAGAAAGCGAGGAGTTGTCAGAAAAGCTGCAGGTTACTTTGAGACAGTTGTCCCAAATGCATGAGAGGAAATGTAAAAATCTGCCACAAGAGAAATGATAATCCACAGTCAGAAAAGTTACTGCAGTTTAAACAGGAAACCCTTCTTGTTCAGGACTGTCATAGCCACAGTTTACAAAAAGTACAGCTATTGATTAATGCAATTAGATGTACATTACTGAGGTCTTTCATTTGTTATAGCTTTTTCTTTTTCTTTTTCTTCTTATTACATCAGTATATTGCCCTGTAAATTGTGGTAGTGGTACCGGGAATAAAAAGCTAGGAATTTTTAACTTTTCAGTATTTGTATAGTTCAGTTTTTCTACATTTTAGTACAGAAACTTTTAACAAAATGTAGTTTTGAAGGTGTTCCCTTATGAGTTAACAAGTAAAGAAGATCGTTGTTAATTATTTTGTATTAATTTTGCTAAAGTTAACTGTAAAGAAACACCTGCTGACTTGCAATTTAAGGGGAATCTATTCTTCCCATTTCTAAACCATGATATGAATAGGTGTTAATATGTGGACAGGATAGATATTTGTATGCCTACAATGTGTGTTTTAGATACATAGGATTGGGTATTTAAATTAGCATATTTGTGAATCTAATAGCATTAAGATTACCTTCAAGTAAAAAAATCTCAAAATTACTCAAAAAAAGAACCTCACACTGGGTGAGTGTGCATGCATGCCTAAGATCTCAGGAAGAGAAGGGGTTGTGGCATGGCCATCTCCCCTGGGGGGTGATTTCTTGCTCTCTGGCAAACACATGTGCCCTATAGCAAAAATCTGTTTCTCAAAAAAAAAAAAAAGTCATGTGGGGGATTTGCTTTGAAAGAGCTTTTCTGTATCCCTAGTGGAGAGATTCTTGTGAAACTGCAATGCCTCCTCTTTTCTTTTTTGTTTTTTAAATTCAGAATCGCTGCTATTTCCATGGCTTCTAAAATAACAGACATGCAGCTTGGAGATACAGTGGAGATCAGCAAGTTAATTACCAAAAAGGAAGTTCACCAAGCCAGGTAATTTTTAAAGCATGTATATATGCCTTCTTTCTCTGATTAGACTTAATTTCTGGAGGGTGAGAATCATTCATTTATCTCAGTTCTCTGCAGTAGAACCTCATGCACAAAGTAAATATGCAGCAGATGTTTGCTAGGAGCCTACACCCATTCTAACCTGGTGAGTCCTACTCAGGGTATAGCTAAGAACAGAGGAGATTTTTCCATGCCTCCTACTACTTCAGAGAGTAGCCAAAGGAAGCAAAGACCTGGATATGTCTAGTCTCCCACCCACGAGAGAAGAAAGACCTAGAGTTATGGCTGTGTCTCGAGAGGGAGGGGAAGCTATCAGAGTGGTACCTGGGGAGGATTTCGGGAGGTCTACCTGGTGACTCCTAGACACCCCAAATCCAGAGACCTACCCACATCTCCTAGGGAGGGACCGTATTCGGCCGTTCTAGATAAGAGCACAGGAGAGACAAGATTCTCAGGGCAGGAGGTGCTAGTGGAAGCTGAAGGGGCTACCTGGCCACCCAGGCTGCTTCCTGACCTGAAGGGAAGTTCTTCAACAAGAGTCTGCAGTGTTCAGGTTGACTTGAAGATTTTTTTGTTGAATAAAAGCTATAGGGACCAGCAGTTAGTATAATGGCTATGTGGCTGGGCTCCCCTGTAGTCGACTACAGTTCGAGTCCCAGACCCGACGGCTTAACCTCACACCGGGCACGTGTGCGTGCGTACCCAAGAGCCCGAGAGGAGAATGGAGGAGAAGGGATTGTGGCGTGGTCATCCCCCCTGGGGGGTGATTTCTCACTTTCTGTCTCTCTGTCTCTCTCTGTCTTTCTGGCGAGCACACGCGTCCTATAGCAAAAACCTTTCAAAAAGAAAGAAAGGAAGGAAGGAAGGAAGGAAGGAAGGAAGGAAGGAAGGAAGGGAAAGAAGAAAGAGAAAGAAAGAAAGAAAGAAAGAAAGAAAGAAAGAAAGAAAGAAAGAAAGAAAGAGCTGTAAAGCCTGTGCCTGTGCCTTGACTTTATTTTTCTCACTTTCTTATCAAGGCTGGAATGTGATGAGGAGTGTTCAGCCTTGGAAAGGAAAAAGTAAGTAGTTTAAACAACCTGTTATCTACTTTCCCTTGAGTTCTGTAAAATTAATGTGAGAGAGCAGCCCTTCAAGCATTTGCTCAGCACCTGCTCTGAGTCTTTTATTGCTATCTGATAGCAAAAGAAATGTGATCATGAACTGAGTTGTTTAAAGATAAACCACTCAAGTAATTTCAACATATTCCAGAAATCTGAGCTGTGTGGTTTGGGGCCTGTGGTTTTGGGCGTATGTGATGTAATCATCACATGCCACAACATACTTATTCAGGAACCAACCAACTTCCTGATTCCAACAGAGATCAATTTTTAAAAATGGTTAACAGATTTTTGGGTCAAACTACAATGTACACATAGGAGTTCAGAAATGTACAGATTGATTAATCATCACAAAGCCATGTAACCAGCAACACTATATCCAGCAACCTCGTTAAGAATAGAAAATTACCAGAACTCTCTCTTTACTCTACAAAGATATAACCTCTGTCCTGACTTTAATGCTTTAGATTAGTTTTGTCTGTTTTTGAACTTTATGTAAATAATGAAATCATACAGTTTTATCTATTTATTATTTAATTTCTGGAAGAATAGGGAGAGAGAAAGAGAAAAGCATCTCCCCGTGGGTTGTGATCACACTACAGTGCCTTTCCTGTTTTTCTTTCCCATCAAGGTGCTGAGTACACACCTGCATACCTGGCATATTCATGTTTTTCAAGCCCCTGGGGCCTGGGTTTGACCCAGTGAGCAGTGTAGGATCTGGCTCTCAATGCACAGTGCTTAACCTTGGTGCTACAGGGCTGACCCTAATTTTTATCATTTTTGTCTGTCTTTTACTGAATTTGTGACATTACTGTTGTTACACACTTGGTTCATTTTCATTCCTACATGATATTTTACTATATTAATATGTCATAATTAGACCAACCCTATAGCTTAGCAGGTGAGGGAGAAGAATCCTTACAGCTGACTCAAGTTTGAATCCTAGCCTCAGTGACTTGAAGCACACGCCAAGCATGTGTACATGTATGCCCACAATCCCAGTGGGATGGAGAAGTGGAGAGGAGACTGCAGCATGACCATATCCTCCTGGAGGATTCTGTTTCTCCCTCCCCATCCCAGCAAGTGCATACGTTCTCCAGCAATTACAAATAAAGAAAAATATCTAATTTATTAATTCTACCAATAATTAATATATTTGGTGTTACTATAATTGGGCTATTACAAATTTAAGAATTTCTCTTTTTTTTTTTTTTTGAGAAAGAGATTGTTGCTATAGGGTATGTGTGTTCACCAGAGAGACAGAAAGCAAGCAATCACCCCTCAGGGGGGTTGGCCATGCCACAGTCACTTCTCTTCCATTCTCCTCTTGGGATTTTGGGCACACATGCACACACACCCAGCATGAGTTTTAAGCTGTTGGGGCCAGGACTCAAACTGCGTTCTACTACATGAAAGTCTAGTGATGTAACCAGTACACCATCTGCTGGTCCCAAGAACATTCTTATTCTGATGTCATAGGAACATTTTAAAATATTTTACCCTAAATATTATGGTCATTATAAGTTATTTGGGGATGCACTGTTTTTTCTTTTTTGGGTTATTTTATTTTTAGTTTCACCAGAGGACACACACGCTCACTGAACAGAGACAATGAGGGAGAATCATGCCATAATCCCTTCTTCACCTCTCCCTCCTTTCAGGATTTTAGGCATGCATATACAATCACTCAGTGTGTTTTTTAAGCCTCCAGGTTCAGGAATCAAATGGACTCAGCCATTCAGGATCCAGTTACCTTACCCAGGCATTAGAGCTTCATTTATTTCTTCCATGAGAGAGGGAGAGGGACAGACACCCCTAATAAGGTCTTTATATCATGATCCTCCTTCCAGCCTCAGCCAGCTAGAATCACAGGCACATGCACAGACAGACCGTGCCTTGCAAACCCAGGACCTTCCCATATGGCCAGTACCATGGAGCATGGCTGCCATTACCACCACATCACCATGGGTAACCATGAGAATACTCTGGCAGTTTAAAGACCATTAATTCAGTGATTGGCAAACTTTGATTATAACAAAACAGAATGTTTACAGTTGGAGAATTTGTGGGAAAGACATATATGGATTCATTGTAATATTCTTATAACTAGTGTTTGAAAATATTTGCAAGATAAAAAGTTAAATAGAAACACAGACCAAGTATAGCCCTGTTTTACCTCAATATTTGAGTTTCAATAATTACAACAGCACTCCATACATATCTAAATATTTATTTCTTTTTCCTTTTTTTGATTGCCAGAGGGTACTTCTACTCTAGAGAGAGAGGAAGAACGCACCCCTCAGTGGTGTGTAGTTACATCAAATCCTCCGTTCCATCTTGTATATAGTAGTTAGAGCTAGCACTACAGAGTCAGATTGCTTGGATTTGAATCCTGTCTTCACAAATCACTTGAGCTTGGGCGAGTCACATATTTTTTCTAAGTGTTAGTTTTCTTTAAAAACAAATCTATGGAAATGGAGCCGATTCCATGGTGCAGCAACAACATGCTGTTCAAGAAAAACTAGACCTCACATAACAACTGCAGTTCAAATCCTTTACCTGGTGAGTGTGAAACATATCGATAAACATGTGGACCTAAGATGTGATAGTCTGAAGGAGTGGAGAAAGAGGATTGTGGCATGGCCAGACCCTGTGGGGGGTACCTTTCTCTCTCTCTCTCTCTCTCTCTCTCTCTCATGCACATACACATACTCTATCATGAATAAAGAAAAAAGTTTTTTAAATCTGTGAAAATCATGATAATAATAGTATTTATTTTCCAGAATTGTTGTGAAACTAAGGATAATATTAAAAGGCTCTTACAAACCAGCAGATGCTGTGGTGGTTAAGACGCTAGATCCCTCATGGCTAACTTCGCAGTTCAAGTCTTGGACCAGGTGGCTTGAAAAACGCACTTGGCACATATGTGTGTGTGCACAAAATCCTAAGAAGAGAAGAGATTGCAGCGTGACCATTCTCCCAGGGGGTGATTTCTCACTTTCTTTCTCTCTTTCTCTGTGTCTGTCTCTAGCTCTCTCTCTCTGGCAAATGCATACAACCTATGGCAAAAACTCTTTAAAAATAAGAATATTCTAACCAGCTCTGTAGCCTAGTAGGTAAGGGAGCTGGATCCCACATGGCCAACTACAGTTTGAATCTTGATCCCTGCAGCTTAGAAAATATACCAGGTATGTGTGCATTCATGCCCAATAACCTTGACAGGATGGAGAAATAACGGAGAAGAGATTGTGGCACGATGATGTACCATTGGGGGTTTTCTCTCTCTTTCTGTGTCTCTCCTCTGGCAAGTACACTCAGCCTCTTGCAATTGGAAAAAAAAAAGAAGAAGAAGAAAGTAGGAAAAAGAAAACCCTATCTGAAGTTATATATATTTCTATTGCAGAAATAAAAAACTGACATGCCAAATTCAGCCCACAGACAAGTTTTAATTTAAGTTTGAATTGGTGGCCAAGTAATGAAAACATAAGAAGAACTCCCCAACAAATTATCTTGAAACTTGAAAATTAAGCCTTTCTTGAAAGATTGAAAAAAATCTAGTAATGATGATGAACCAGATTTTTATGGGCATTGAACTTACAGGGGACCCTGTCTCAGTGTAAATGGAAATTACAGTAAAATGCTAAGCTGAATTCTATCTTTTTATTTGAAGGGGGAAAAAATCTGGGTGTTGTAAGATGCTGTGAGACTCAGTCACTGCTAGTTAGAGCATAGTCTGACAGTTTGGGAGACTACTTAGGCCACCACATTGGTCAAGAATCTAATGTTCATACCTTCTTAACAACACAGTTATAAGCATTTTTCAGGGAAATAATTTTAAAGGCTTTTTGCAGAAATAGTGTGCCACTTAGAATATTGAGAAACTGGGAAACTAATAAAGAAACCTGTAGGGGGACCAGCAGGTGGCATAACTATTACATTGCTGAACTCCCACATAGTTGACCGTGGTTCAAGACCCAGACCAGGCTGGGTGCATGTACATGCATGCCCAAAATCCCAAGAGGAGAATGGAGTAGAAAGGATTACAGCATGGCCATCACCCCTGGGGGTGATTTCTCACTTTCTGTCTCTCTGTCTCTCTCTTGTCATTCTGGCGAGCGCACATGCCCTATAGCAAAATCCTCTCAAAAAAAAAGAAAAAAAAAATCATGTCTAGTACATGTGCATGAATGCCCAGAAATCCTAAAAAGAGAATGGAAAAGAGGTTACAGCATGGCCATTCCCCCTGAGGGGTGCTTTCCCACTTTCTCTCTCTCTTCCTCTCCAGTTAGTGCACATACCCTATAGCAAAAACAAAACAAAACAAAAAAGGAACCTAAATGGGAAATGTTTAAGTAAATTATGAGATAAATGTAATTAGAAGATTATAAACTATTAAAACAGGTGTAAAACTGGGGCCAGCAGATAGCATAATGGTTACATCACTGGACTCCCACGTGGCTGACCACAGTTCAAATCCCAAACCTGGCAGCCTAAAACTCAGGCCAAGCACACATGTGCATGCGTGTCCCAAAATCCCGAGAGGAGAGTGAAAGAGAAGGGATTGCAGTATGACCATCTCCCTTAGGGGGGTGATTTCTCACTTTCTGTCTCTCCAGCAAGCACATGCACCCTATAGCAAAAATCTCTTTAAAAAAAAAAAAAGAAGAAGGTGTAAAAACCAAATAGTAATATGAGAAATGCTAATCACATAGGGGGCTTTACAAAGTTTTATGTGTACAACTAACCATTATTGAAGGGGGAGGGGATCTAAAAAAATTAATTAGAATGCTGTACTGGGGCTGGCTCCATGGTCTGGTGGACAAGGCAGCTGGATCCCATATGGCTGACCATGTGGTTCAAATCCCATCCAATCTAGCTTGAAAAATATTCAGGGTACATGTAATTGTATAGGGTACATGTAATTGCATGCCCAGAATCCTGACAGAATAGAGTAATGCAAGAGAAGGAATTGATTGCACTGTGGCCATGCCTTGTTGGGGAATGCTTTCTCCCTCTGTCTTTCTCTATCTGATGAGGGCACATAACCTTCTAGCAAATTAAAAAAAAAAAAAATGCAGTGGTTATGTTGTTAGTGGAATTCCATTATTTTCTAGATATTTTTGTGATAAGATATTAATTGTATATTTATGTGTCTATTTTATGTATCTTATGTTCAAGCCTCAGAGAAAGTCATCCCCTGACCATTCCCAGTGATTTCATATCCACAGCCTTCTCTTCCCCAAGTAGCCCAAGTCCCCAGTATTCAGCCCATGGCTTCCTCAGGCCCATATAGACCTACTTGGCTTGTTTTCTCCTATGAAGACAGTACCACCTCTTGCCCCAAGTTGTTCTTTAACAATCTAGTTTATTGAGATGAGATCATTCATGTATGAAGAATTGAGGACATGGTAGGCAGATGTCTGGTGCTACAAGATAATTTCCTTCCCTATCCTTTCCTTTTATGTGCATACCTCTCTCTCACTTCCAGGAGGTTAGCAGAGGCATTTGATATCAGTGATGATTCTGATCCTTTCAATATACGTTCTTCAGGATCAAAATTCAGTGATAGTTTGAAAGATGAAGCCAGGTATGTACTCTGTTACCTACTTTCTTAATTGTGCTTTATGAGAGCATTTAGTCTTTTTTTAGTAGTTATCTAATATGTATCCCTCCTGCGATTAAGCCAATCGAGTTTATTTACCTGTCGTAAGAGATTTTATGTTGTTTTTTCTTGGGTTCTTAAAACTGTCTCCTTGAAGAACTGCATTTGGGCTTCTGGTGGGAAGTGGCCCCTCAGATAGGTACTTGATCCTACGAAGGGCTGAACTAAACTGAACGGAAAGATTTCTGGGCTGCTCACCAATTCTTCCCCCCTGGGCCTCACAGTCACAGGGTCCTCACTTGGGAGAATAACATTTTTTATTTTTCTCTCGTCTTCCTAGCCTTCTGATGGCTGTTCTTTCTGACTTCATCTCTTTTCTCACATATGTTTTCTCTTCTCCTCCTTTGTTTCAGCACAGTTAATCTGTTATCTGTCAGTTCCTGACCTCTGTGGTTTCTCTGCCAACATTGTCCCTTGTCTGCACTGTATGGGCAGAAGGTGGGTGGATGGGGCTCCCAGAGGGGCAGGAATAGATTAGATTAACTGTGGTCATTTCTCATTTCAGGAAGGACTTGAAGTTTGTCAGTGACATCGAAAAGGAAATGGAAACGCTTGTGGAGGCTGTGAATAAGGTTAAAGTCAAAATATCTAGCTGGACATTTCTTTAAGATCAGCTTGATGGGGAAAAAAAAACCAGATCTCAGAAACACTGTAGGAAAAAGTCACAACTTCCATGAGGATCCTTATCTTTCCCAAAAGCCCAGCCATTTTAATATATACCAAATACTGTCCTGGTTTGGTCATTGCAATAAAGATAAAGTCAAATTAAGTATAAATTAGAAATCCTAGTTCAGTATCTAATGGGTGAAGAAACTCTGGATGAGGGGGCTCAACAGTGATAGGCGAATAGCTGTGTGGGCTCCTTAGGAAAACAGAAGACTCTTGGATCACTGAAGGGCTAGCGTATTATAGAGCACACTGCTTTATTACCCCAAGGGTAATAAAGAGAATGAGATCCTGTCCCTGACACAGCCAGGGATGTCGAGGAGGTAGGTTTAAGTGAAAGGTCTTTCATTTAGGCAGAAGCAGCCAGTGCTGCATTGGCTCCCTCTTCATTCACTGGGGACTGTGAGTGAGGTCAGGATAGCTGATTTAGCCCCATGTCGAATGATGATGGCTTTTCTTACCACTTTCTTCCTTGTGCTCATCCTACTCCCTTCTCTTCCTCCCTTCTGTTACCACTTCCCAGCAGAACACTGACACAGAGAAAATGGAAGCAAATGTATTTCTGATGTGTGTCTATCTGCATACACTTAGAAATGAGATTTTCTTGTTTATTAAGTCTTCAATTTAGTCATTTCTTGAACATATCACGTATCCCCCACTGTTGGGCCCCCTCGGGCAGAATGATTACACTGTCCACCTAAGTCTTGGTTCACCAGCCCTTTGTTCTCAACCTTGTTCAGCCACTGCTACTGTGGTTCACCAAGCAGATGAAAGAAATGCATCAGTTCCCCTTTTCCCAAACCCTTCTGGGCGGGCTTGGCAGTTATGAAATGCCATACACATTAGGCCTTTCAAATTCAGTCACCTTTTCTTGATCCAAGATGTTGTTGAGTGGGATGGGCAGTTGTAATTGTTTGCTGTTTTGAGGATGATGGTACCAATCAGTCCTCTCTTCCTTCAATACAGGGAAAGAATAGTAAGAAAAGCCACTGCTTCCCTCCCATGAATAGAGATCACCGCCGGCTCATCCACGACCTGGCCCAAGTTTATGGCCTGGAGAGTGTGAGCTATGACAGTGAACCAAAGCGCAATGTCGTCATCACTGCTGTCAGGTGAGTATGTTGCTGTCATTGGAGTAACTCCTCAGGAGGGCAAAGTAACCCTGGAAGGAGAGTCTGTCAATATTTTCTTTCCTTACTTCCTCTCTCCCTCTAAAGAATAGTTGGAAAATCTGCTCCTCTGAGACACCCATTCTAAGCTGATCTAAAGGTCTGAGCCAGAGAGCAAAAGCCCATGCCTCAGTCCATAGGGCAGACAGATGGAAAGTACATAGTCCTCTTGTCTGCCCAGATCCACGGCAGACGCTGGAGGTAGCATTTCCACCAGCAGAGAGATGCCTGCCCATCACATCTGTCCCTTTTCTCTTTCTATGTCCTTTTTCTCCTGACCTCTCCCTGGCTTTGTCCTCCTGGTATGTTAGAAACAATCAGAATGCTAGACTCTGGTGCAAGGAGTCCCTGTAAATAGTGTTTTGCCATCAAAGGAAATTTAAAAAGTAATATGCACCAGAAAAGGACAGGGAAGACCTACAATTACTGTCAATAAGAACTTCCCAATGAAGAACACTCAAGTGTGACATGAGAGGAAACAGGCAACAGAATCAGCAGAGGTGGGTGGAAGGGACAGGGAGTTAATACAGGTGGCCACACCTGCGAGGAGAAAGGTCATATCAGAGTACTTAGCAGTGTCACAGTGCCAAAGTCCTGAACTGAGTTCCTGTTGTCTATCTCCACGAACAACTCTAACTTCTAAACACTTTGTGTTTTGCTTTATCAGAGGGAGGTCCATTTGTCCTCCTACCACATTGACAGTTGTGCTTGAAAGAGAAATGCAGACACGGCCTCCGCCACCAATTCCTCATCACAGACATCAGACAGACAGGTAAGGATTCGTCAGCTGCTTTCCTATTCAGAGATGACAGCATGGGCTGAACTGCCCTGGGTTCCACCAGCTTCTGGTGGCCTTCTCAGACCTGGCCCTGGGGTGCCATGTTTAAATATGTGAGGTTTGACTAGGTGTCAGACACATTTCTTTATGGCAGAGGGGTCCTGTGTTTGTTATGCCAGATTCCACTCCAGGGGGCGGGATCACTGGACATCATATTCATGGTACATATGGTGACACTGGGAGGTAGATTCAGTCTGTCACACCAGATGATTTAGGGCTGGAGCATCACTGTTAACATTAGTTACTCTGAAGGTGGAAGTGGGATTTGGGGTAAGAATTGGCAGTGAAGGAAGTGAGAAGGACTTTTTATGTTTTGCTCTGTCTACTTCTGTATGGTTTGAATCATTTTTACAACAAAAACATATTCATGATTTAGAAAGATAACCAACTTAGGAAGGAGCAAGTCTGCCAGATATTTTCTCAGACAAGAGCAGAGAAGGAGCACCATCTGTTCTTTTCTTCCTCTCCTCTGTCAGGAGGGAAGCCCACCTGCCCTGCTGTGACCAAGGCAGCATGGTTGACAATTAACCAGAAGTCCAAGTAGTTTCTCTTTGTGCTTGTTGCCCAAGCCTCAGAAAGGGTGGTTAGGGCAGTTTGCAGGTCACCATGAAGGTTATAGCAGTTGGTGCTCCCATGAGACAGTACAGAACAACAAGGTATTGCCAGTTGAGCTCAGCCTCAGCCAAGACCATTAAGGGCCACATAGCTCCCCAGGACAGCCCCTATGCACCGCTGGAAACATGCGTTCTGGTCAGCACAGTCTGATTGTCACATGGACAGTGTTGGAAGTATGTGGGATATTCCCAGACAGTGCCATAGCCATGTCTAGTACCACTTAGATGTAAACATGTGGAGTCAGTGGCCTGTTTATGCCATGCTGTCTTTGTTCCCCTTGTCTTGCTTTCTTTTGGTATAAACCTTCATTATGGAAGATTTTAACAATTACCAGTTTACGTTTGCTCCACTAGCTTATCAAAACTTCACAACTGGTAAATCAGCTAAGCCTTAACTTTCTGAAGTTCTGTATCTGCTTCCTTCAAAGAGATTGATCACTCTTTGTTTGCTTTTCAGGAGTCCTGGGAGCAGTAATTTACAGAAAATAACCAAGGAGCCAATAATTGACTACTTTGATGTCCAGGACTGAGAAGATCATGATGCACTTAGATAAAAGAATAATTAGGTGTAGTGGAGACTCATTTGCCAGCAGATAAATCATGCTCATTCCCCACCACCTGATGGAATCACAGCCTCACATGTCTTGTACTGATACATCCAAAGCATGATTGTATCATAAATCCCCTTGTCTATTTCTGTCTATATAAAATGTTTCAGTATGGCCAGATCTCTGATTGTATGGTCACTAGGTATTGGGTTATATATTTAAAGAGGCTTCTCACACCATACTGTTCCAAGGACTGGGGAATATTTTTGAACTTTATTTGGGCAATTCAGAATTTTAGATCAAAACTGGCTTTATGACCCTTAGTCATAGCCTCAGTTATCCCTCCTCCTAAAGATGCCTAAACTATCACATGAACCTTACTTTTTATTCAAATTTATCATAATCTTCAGAAAGGCACAAGCACTGTTTTTTGCCTGAAACACTGAACATTGAATTAGTACACTACATCTAGAATTACACATGTTGATCTAAACCTGCCATCTTCTCAAAGTCTTGCCAGAAATCTCTCATAGATCTATCTAGCTAAACGTATTTTAGTAGTTCCCAATTACTGTTTGTTCTAGACCTAGGAGAGAAGTCAGGTTGATTTACAGAATTTCATTTTCTTAAATCCTTGGTTCCTCTCATACCACATCACAGCCTGTCCAGGTTAGTCCTCCACCATGATGATACAGAACAAGCTCATCTTTCTGCCAGATTTTTGCTGTGGCCTCTGTGAACTGGCCAGTTTATCCCTAATTCCTCTCTGATTGAGAAAGAGTTTCATTTAAACAGCTATCCTGTGTTGATTTTTCCTAGGCCTTCAGCACCTATATTGGCTCTGTCTCTGAGCTCTAGACTTTTGTTGACTATTCAAAGAAGTATGGACAGTCCAGGGCTGATGCCTCACAGCCCACTGGAGGCATTCTTCAGGCTCCTCTAAGGCAGGTGGGTCACCAGTTAACTTTAGTTTGGCCCTCATTCTGTTGGTACCTCTTCAGTGTGGAGACCTGCCTTCTACCAGCTTCCTTCCACTCCAGAAAAGGTCATGAGCCCCAGAGCAGTGGAAGGAGATTTGAGAAGCAGAGGTGCCCTGCGGTCTTCACCCAGACAGAATGCTTTGAAAGACATCAGATACACCAGCAAGAACAGGTGACTACAGGGAAGAGACAGAAAATAAGAACCACTGCAGTCCCATGTAGTGCAGGGCCAGTGGCCCACGTACAGTAGGAAGCCCATGAGAATCTATTACATCTTTCAAGCAGTGGATTCAGTGGCTGTGTTGAACATGCGAGAGCATCTCAGACTCAGCAAGGCCACCTGAGTTCTAGCTCTGCCACATAACAACTTGCCACTTGATAGAACTAAAGTTTCAGCCACCTCACTGGGTTGTTGTGAGGGTAAATGAATGACATATGTGGAGGTGGCTGGTCAATCATAGTTTTTCAAAGTCATAGAAATGATACTTGATATCTAGAAAATATATTTTTTCATTCACTATAATGCTAACCAAGTAGAAGTTATGGATTACTGAACAGTCTCTTCTGGTGAATGTTTATAAGCCCACCGTGTGCCAGCTTTTTGCTTGGGCTGTGAGAAGCAGACATAGCCTGTTCTCTTATAGTTAGTAATCCAAGGTGGACACCTAGTAAGCAATTTTTTTTCTTTTTTTTTTGAGAGAGATTTTTGCTAGAGGGTACATGTGGTCGCCAGAGAGACAGCAAGAATCATCCCCCCACAAAGGCCATGGCCACACCACAATCCCTTCTCCGTTCTCAGGATTTGGGGCATGCATGTACACGCACCCAGTGTGAGTTTTTAAGCCACTGGGTCCCAGACTTGAACCACACACAGTCAGCCTTGTGGGAGTCCAGTCCATTATGCCATCTGCTGGTCCTGCAAATTTTTTTTACCTTTGCCAGAGAGCCTACATGCTCACCAGCATGAGAGAGAGAAGGCATCCCACAATGGGGCATGGTCACATGCCCCTTCCCCGTTTATCCACCCTGTTGGGATTTAGGGCATGCACACACATTTTTCAAGTTGTGGGGCTTGGTCTAGAATCATGTAGTCAGCCATGTGAGATCCAGCTGCTCTGACCACTAGGCCACAGAGCCAACCCTTGAGCAAATGTTTTTAATGGAATTAGTTCATCTAGCACAAATAGGTACTTAATCTGTTGTTAAAAGCCAAAGAAGTTGGGACCAGCAGTTAGTGTAATGGCTATGTCGCTGGACTCCCATGTTCGTTGACCACAGTTCGAGTCCCAGACCCAGCAACTTACATGTGCAAGTGTGCCCAAGATCCTGAGAGGAGAATGGAGGAGAAGGGATTGTGGCGTGGCCACAATCCAAGTGATTTCTCACTTTGTCTCTCTGTCTCTCTCTAGTGACTGCACACGCCCTATAGCAAAATACTTCTTAGAAAAAAAAAAAAAAGAGCAGAAGAAGTTGTGGCCAGCAGGTGGCCTGGTAATTAAGGGCACTAGACTTCCACATGGCCAACCAAGGTTCGAGCCCCAAATTTGGTGGCTTGCTTTCTCACTTCCCATCTCTCTCTTTCTCTCTGTGTCTCTCTCTGGTCAAATTAAAATAAATAAATGAATAAATAAAATTAACAGCAGTTGGCATAATGGCTATGTCGCTGGACTCCCATGTAGTCGACTGTGGTTCCAGTCCTAGACCCAGTGGCTTAAACTCACACCAGGTGCATGTGCGTGCATGCCCAAGATCCCCAAAGGAGAATGGATTGCAGACAGCATGGCCATCCCCCCTGGTGGGTGATTTCTCGCTTTCTGTGTCTCTGTCTGTCTCTGGCAAGTGTGTGCGCCCTATAGTAAAAACCTCTCTGAAAAAAAAAGCTGAAGAAGTCGAGGTCGGTTCAGCTGGTGACATGGTAGCTAAGGCAGCTAGATCCCACATGGCTGACTGTAGTTTGAGTCCTAGAACACAACAGCTTGAAAGACATGCCAGGTGTGTGTGTGTGCACATGTCCAGAATCCTAAGAGGATAATAGAGGAGAAGGGATTACAATGTGGCCTTCCCCCCGGAGGTGCTTTTTTACTTTCTCTCTCCATCAAGTACATGAGCCCTGTAACAAACAAAAGTTACTTATTTAATTTTTTTAAAAGCTGAAGAGGTTTAAAAGGAGTATTTTGCAAAGTTGTGATAGGAATGAGATAGCTTTCATTGTTGGAGAAGGACACATGGGTGGGGAAGGAAAATAGGCAAAAGCGTTTAAGCTGAGACTCAAGATGGTAAGGCTGCCATTCAGAAAAGGAAAGAGGTATACCTCGTGAAGATAGACAGCATGAGACGGGCACTAGCACTGTGGTTTATGGCGGGTTTGAGAAAAGATTAATTATCAACTAATCAAGACAACTGGAGAGAAGGCATTGAGGCTGGAAAGGAAGTTCATGGACTTCCACTGGGAGCCACTGAAGAATCAAACAGAGTGGCATGACTGGATTTATGACCCAGAGTAGAAATCAGCCAATATTTCTATAAGAGGCCTGGTAGGAAATATATTAAACTTTGTGAGACAGTTTCTGCTGCAGTTCCCTAACTTTGCCATTGTCATGTAAAAGCAATAGACAATCCATAAATGAATAAGCATGGCTCTGTTCTTTTTATTTGTTTTAATTGCTAGGACATGTGTGCTAACCAAAGAGAGAGGAAGGTCATGGTCACACCACAGACCCTTTCTTTCCATCCCATCAGGGTTTTAGGCACTTGTACACAGTATTTCTTATGTTTTTCAAGTCACTGGGGCCAGGATTCAAACCGGGATCAGCCATGTAGGATCCAGCTTTCCATCCACAGCACTTAACCATCACACTATTCTTTTTGGGGGAGAGGTAGGGGAGAGGATGGAGAGAAAAGATTTTTGCTATAGGGCACTTGCACTCTCCGAAGAGACAGCAAGAATCATCCCTGGGGGGATGGCCACGTTGCAGTCCCTTCTCCATTCTCCTCTCAGGATCTTGGGCACACACACACACACACACACACACACACACACACACACTTCTGGCGTGAGTTTCAAGCTGCTGGGTGAGGTCCAGGACCTGAACCGCAGTCAACTATTTGGGAGTCCAGCAACATAACCATTATGCCATCTGCTGGTCCCAACCACCAAGCTATTCTAGTAATACTATTTATAGCACTGAAATAAAAGATGTATTTTTTACATGTCACAAAGTATTGTTTTATTTTCTCTCCAATTTAAAAATTAATCTTTGCTCATGAGTTGTACAAAAACAGGCCGCAGGTTGGAGTTGGCTATGGATCTTAGTTTGCCTCCCTTGTCCTACAACAGTCTCAGGCAGAAGTGTGTAGAAGGGATCAGAAGGCTATTTTTAGGCAAGAAGCCCAGCCACAGGCTGCAAAGTGATCTAAGTGAGAAAGAATGAAGGTGGTGTGAGTTGGCACTGCAGAGACAAGAGATTAAGATCAGGGAGGTGAAATAGGATGCCAGGGGTGAGCAGGAGAGCTAGTCCCTCTCAGATCACCAAAAGAATCCCAGGGCCCCTCAGCAAGGCTGGCTGCTTCTCATGGGTGTGGTGGATTCTTCACTGAGCAGGAGTGGATTTTATGTGAACATAGACTAAAGGGAGGCAATGCTGCGTTCTCCCCATTCATGGAGGAACCCAGTAGGTACCAGGACCCCAGGCTGTTGCTCCCTGAGAATCAAGCAGCATCTTCTCCTCCCCCTCCAGCCCCACAATCTTTCAACAGGAGTTTCTTTATGGGCCAAAGATTTCCAGAAACCAACTTCTTATCTGGAATTCCCCCTGGCTTGTCTGGCAGGGCTGGGTCATCTCAATAGTGGTGCCTTCCTATTGTGCACTGGGGGATTGTAGAACTGTGGAGATGAAAGCAGGCCCTCCTGATGGCAAGGTCTGTGTGAAACAGCTCTGGATCCTGGTGACATGGTGGTTAAGGCAGTTGGATCCCGCATGGACCTGACCAGGCTAGAGAATAGACTAGAGAAAGGAAGGATTGTCAGCCTTGGGGAGAGTTGCAAAGTCTCAGTCAGCAGGTTGTGTAGATTTAGGTCTGGGGTAGTCTCCAGTGTGGTGCTGGCCTTGCTTCATGCTCAAAAGCCTGTTTCCCTACTGTACCTCCTCTTCTATAATGAGAGACAGTCTGGCCAGGCCAGCTCTTCATTTTCACAGACCT